TGCTTGGCTGCTTTATCAAAGATAAGGTGGTTGACTGTGTTTGTAGTTGAGGTTGTATCTTCTAATCTATTCCATTGATCTTCAGCTCTGTTTTGATTCCAATACCATGTTGATTTTACTACAGTTGCTTTGTAGTATAACTTCAAGTCAGGGATTGTGATGCCTCCTGCCTTGCCTTTGCTGCTTGAATTGCCTTTGCTATTCTAGGTATCTTCTGGTTCCAGATGAATTTTAGGAGTGATTTCTCTAGATTTATAAGGTATGTTGATGGTATCTTTATTGGGATTGCATTGAATCTGTATAACAGTTTTGGGAGAATAGCCATTTTCACAATGTTTGTTCTTCCTATCCATGAGCAAGGGATGTCTTTCCATTTTCTGAGATCAACTTCAATTTCTTTTTTCAGTATATTATAATTTTCCCTGTATAGGTCTTTCACTTCTTTCGTGAGTAATTCCTAAATATTTCATTTTTTTGCTTGCTAGTGTAAAGAGTGTGGTTTCTCTTATTTCCCTCTCTGTGATTTTGTTGTTAGTGTATAGGAATGCTACTGATTTCTGAGTATTGATTTTGTATCCAGCTACACCGCTGAATTTATTTATTATATCTAAGAGTCTTTCAATGGAGTTTAGGGGGTCTTCTATGTAGAGTATCATGTCATCTGAAAACAATAACAATTTAACTTCTTCTTTTCCTATCTTTACCCCTTTTATTTCTCTCTCTTGTTTAATTGCTCTGGCTAGTACTTCCAGTACTATATTAAATAGGAGTGGTGATAAAGGACATCCTTGTCTTGTGCCTGATTTTAAAGTAAAGACTTTCAATTTTTGGCCATTTAGTATGATGCTGGCTGTTGGTTTGTCATAAATGACCTTTATTATATTGAGGTAAAGACCATCTATTCCAATTTTCTGTAAAGTTCTTATCATGAATAAATGTTGGACCTTATTGAAGGCTTTTTCTGCATCTATAGAAATGATCATGTGATTCTTATTTTTGGCTTTATTGATATGATGGATTACATTTATTGATTTACGTATGCTGAACCATCCCTGCATACCAGGAATGAATCCCACTTGGTCATGGTGTATAATCTTCTTGATGATTTGCTGCATCCTGTTTGCCAATATTTTATTGAGGATATTTGCATCTGTGTTCATTAGGGAGATTGGTCTATAGTTCTCTTTTTAAGTTGGGTCTTTCTCGGTTTTGGTACTAGAGTAATATTTGCTTCCAGGAATGACTTAGGAAGGATTGCTTCCCTTTCAATTTCATTGAATAGTTTGAAGAGTGTCGGCCTTAGGTCTTCTTTGTATTTCTTGTAGAATTCTGCAGTGAATCCATCTGGGCCTGGGCTCTTCTTTGTAGGTAAGGACTTAATTACATTTTCAATTTCATTAATAGAGATTGGGTTATTCAGCAGTTTTACATCCTCTTGATCTAGCTTTGGTACTTCATATGTTTCTAGGAATCTGTCTATTTCTTCTGTGTTATCAAACCTTTGAGAGTAGAGGTTTTCGAAATAGGTGTTGATGATCTTCTGTATTTCTGCAGAGTCTGTAGTGATTTCAGCTTTTTCATTTTTTATTGCATGAATTTGAGCTTTTTCTTCCCTTTTTTAAATAAGGTTGGCTAGGGGCTTATCAATTTTATTTATTCTTTCAAAGAACTAACTCTTTGATTCATTGATTCTTTGGATTATTTTCTTAGTCTCTATTGCATTGATTTCTGCTCTGATTCTTATAATTTCCTCTCTTCTTTTGGCTTTGGGCTTGACTTGCTCTTCTTTTTCTAGCTGTTTGAGGTGTAGCATCAGGTTATTTGTATGTTCTGTTTTCCTGATGTGGGAACTCAGTGCAATAAATTTTCCTCTCAGGACGGCTTCCATTACATGCCACAGATTCCAGTAAGTTGTATCTGCATTTTTCATTTTCTTGTAGGTATTGTTTATTTCTTCTGTGAGCCACTGATTACTCAAGAGTATGTTATTCAGTTTCCATGTGTTTGTGGGATTTTTGCAGTATCTTTTATCATTAATTTCTAATTTCAAAGTGCTATGATCCGATAACATGCAAGGGATGATTTCAACTCTTTTGCATTTGTTTAAATATGTTCTGTGAGCTAATATATGGTCTATTTTAGAGAATGACCCATGTACTGCTGAGAATGTGTATTCTGATGTTGTTGGGTGGAACATTCTGTATATGTCTTTTGTTCACAGATGTAATTCAGTTCTGTTATTTGTTTGCTTATTTTCTGTCTGGTTGATCTGTCCCTTGGGGTCAATGGCGTGTTAAGGTCTCCTGTTACAATTGTGTTGCTGATAATTTGAGTTTTCATTTCTGTTAATAGTTGTTTTATATAATTGGGTGCTCTGGAGTTTGGTGCATATATATTTAAGATAGTTATTTCTTCCTCTTGGAGTTTTCCCCTAACGAGTATGTAGTGACCTTCTTTGTCCTTTATGGTCATTGTTGGTTTAAAGTTCACGTTGTCTGCAAACAGAATGGCTACTCCTGCTTTGTTTTGGATTCCTGTTGCAAGAGGTATTGTTTTCCATCCTTTGACTTTCAGTCTGTGAGTATCCTTCTGGGTTAGATGGGTTTCCTGTAAACAGCATATGGTTGGATTTTGTTTCTTGATCCATTCTGCTAGTCTGTTTCTTTTGATTGGTGCATTGAGACCATTTACATTAATGGTTATAACTGTTATATGCTGGTTTGTTGTTGACATGTTATCTCTCTGCTGTTGCATCTTTATCTTTCTGTTCTGTTTAATTATCTGCTTTGCTTGTAGATTTTTTCCTTTGTGTATCTAAACTGTCTGTCAATATTTTTTGTAGTGTTCGTTTGGTGTTCATGAAGTTCTTCAGCTGTTCTTTGTCATGGAAGTATCGTATTTCACCATCAATTTGGAATGATAGTTTTGCAGCGTGATCAGTCTAAGTTGGAAATCATTTTGCTTTAGGATCTGGAATACTTCACTCTATGCTCTTCTTGACTTTATTGTTTGTGCTGAGAAGTCTGCTGTGATTCTGATAGGTTTTCCTTTATAAGTGATCTGTCTTTTCTCTCTGACAGCTTTTAATAATCTATTCTTGTGTTGGATTTCTGGGATGGTGATATACCTGGGTGTAGTTTTATTTTGGTTATGACTATTTGGAGTTCTATATGCTTCACTGAACCTGATGTCAGTTTCTGATCTCATGCTTGGCAATTTTTCAGCTATTACTTCTCTAAATATCCTCTTGACATCCTTTATGTTGTCCCCTTCTTTTTCGTTAATCCCAATCTTATGTTATTTTTCTTTGCATCATCTTGCAGTTGTTGAATTGTTATTTCCTGATTCCTTGTTATTTTTAAAAGATCTTTCCTTTCCTGTTCACTAGCTGCAATGCTGTCTTCAAGGTCTGAAATTCTGTCTTCATTTTCATTGAGGCGGTTTTTACAGCTTTCAGTGGAGTATTTTATTTCCTGTATATCTCTGTGTACCTGCTTTATGTATTGTTTTTGTCTTATATTGCTCATCTAGGGATTCTATCTTTTTGTTTAGTTCCTCCAATTTTTTAACTGTGTTTTCTTTACATATATTCAGAATCTCTTTCATTTCTTTTATCATTTCTTCTTTTACCTAGGAGATTGTTTCGAGTTTGAATTCCTTTAAAGCTTCCTGGAGTTGCTTGTTTATTTTAGTAGCTATTATGTTCAATATTTGAGGTGTATGGCATATATTTTCTTCTATATACATTGCTCCTAGGGTTTGTTGAGATGGGCTGGAGGTTTGAGGTTGTAATTTGGTCTTTTGTTTTGTCGTTTTCCTATATTTCTGTGTTTCAAGTGTTATTTGATAGCTTCCTCAGGGTCTGTTGGAAATCCCCTTCTATGTTCGCAGCTCCTGGGACTCTGGCACCCAGTTCCCCCAGGCTGCTGGGCCTCTAAAACCAGTGGCCCTCTTCTGCCTGTTTAGAACTCCGTAGTTCCAGATAGGCTGGGCTCCAGGGACACTGTGCGCCCGCCTGCTTGCTGAAAACTCCACAGTTCTCCGAGCGCAGCCGGAATGGGGAGGCGGACGTAGGCGCCTGGGGCCCACTTAAGACACTTCATGGCATCCGGAAGGCTCAAGGGTCCCGAACAGTCTGGGCTTGGGGCAGAGTGCACTGGGCACTTACTCCAGGCCACGGGGCCTCTGGAACTGGTGATGCTTGCCTGCTTACTGAGAAATCCACAGTCCTCCAGACACCTGGGGAGGCGGATGCAGGTGCCCCAGATCCACCCAGTCCTTGCTCTGCACCCAGAAGGTGCGAGAGTCCCACATAGGATGGGCTCCGGGGATAGTGTGCGCCCACCTGGTCAGTATGGGCAATTCTTTTGAAGATAACAAGAGGCATTATGGTAGCCATTATTGATCTCCTTATATTTTGTTTTTAAGTCATGTACCATGTTCATCTTTTTGTTTTGATTGACTCTATTTTGTATTGTCTCATTTGGTTTTAATCTCTTAAAAAAAAATTCTAGATGATCACGGATTCAACTGTAGTCATATGAATGACTATGTATTTACATATGAAAGAATATGTATTTACAAAGGAAAATAGTCATTTTATAAGTGAAAAATGTTGGTTTAAAAAACTGGAGCTAAAAATACGTATGCGCATGAGCACAAGCTAATTATCTCTGCATGAGGGGATTATGAACATTATTTCCTTGATGTCTTTTTCTTTTCCTTCTCCTTTTTCAGTCTGGGGATTGAATTCAGGGCCTTGCAAGTGCTCTGTCCCTGAGCTATACTCCCAGCCTTTTATAAATCGATGCTTTAATATTTTTTACAAAGTCTAGAAATTTTTGTATTGAGCATGTAATACTTTTATAATTAGAGAAATAAAAGAATTTTTTAATTGGGCAAAATATGAGAGAAAGAAACCAAATGAAGTACATATATAAGCTTTGATTTTAAAATCTGATAGGTTCCAAGTTAATTTAGAGACCAGAACTGATACTCACCTTTTTCTGTTTTTAGATATTCCTGTTCAGCCTGTGACGCATAGATGGCAGACAAAACTGAAAAAACAGAGGCCAACACTGTTTTCTGTTCTTGTAGGATGATGGGTGGGTCATCAGATTGGCAGAATTCATTGCAGACCAGATCAAAAAGTAAATTCCAAGTGTCTTTCCCAGTATCAGGACACTGTACTTAATAAGAATTATGAACAAAGTAGAAATTTAAAAGTAGCAAAGTGAAATTTAAAAAACAACAAACAACTAAATGAATGACCATACTGCATCCTGATGAGCCATCTTACCAATTGCTTGAATTCCATCATCCACTGTGGTAAGTAGCTGTAAAATGTGCATGTAAACATCAAGGCCTTCTGGGTTTTCAGAACTAAACACAAAAAGCAAATGCACTGAATCAGTAACTTTACTGTCTAGGGAACTGCAATTATTCATTCATCCAACAATAATTCTTACTCTGGGATAGCCATTGCCATAGGTGTTGAGGATTCTAAGAGGAATGGAATAGCTGGGCATGGCCACTACACAAATATAATCCCAGCGCTCTGGGAGGCTGAGGCAGGAGGGCTGGAAGTTCAAGCCCAGCCTGGGTGATTGAGTCCCTGTCTCAAAATGAAGAAAATACAATATAAAAAGGGATAGGGATGTATGTATCTCAGTGCCAAGGTCCTGGGTTCAATACCCAGTACCACACACACACACACACACACACACACACACACCACCACTACCACACACAAATGGTACAGAACCGAACAAAATCACTCCTCCCTACAGCTTATACTGAAATAGGAAGAACAGTAAAATGAACAAACAAACCTAGTGCTACGTAATATAATCATATAAAGGACAAGAAGCAAAAAAAAAAAAAATTTTTTTTTAAGAAGCAAAAATCTTCTAGGCTGTGTTCCACAAAAGCAGCAATCCACACACCTGCTAGACAATACCTACCATTTTGCTTTACTTGAACAGTCAAAAAACAACTTTTATAGGATAAAAGTAAGGCCTACCACACAAAGCACTGACAATAACTAGGTTTTTATTGTAGGTTTTTGGGTTTGGGTTTGGGTTTTTGGTTTTTTTTTTTAATCCTTGTTTTTTTGCCTTTTTGAGACAGGGCTTCATTATGCAGTGCAGGCTGGCCTTAAATTCATTTTGTAGCCCAGGCTGGCCTCAAACTTCACAGCCTTTGGGTGCATGTGTCACCATACCCAGCGAAAATACTGTTCTTAGAACCTGACAAGGTTAACTTAGTTCCCTAATTAAGAACACCATAACCATAAAAGTATAATTCTTCTGATCAGAAATTGGTACATTTAGGAACTCAAAAGTTAGTTCTTTAAAACAATTATGCAAAAACATAGTAAATAACTAGAACCAAAGTTTTTAACCAATGTTTATTTGAGTACCCACTATTTTTAGGCTCTATGTTAGGGGCTGGGAAAACAGAGACGTGAAATGTTACCCCTACCTTCATGAAGCTTACACTCTAAAAGGGGTTAACTGTAATAAAATGAAATGAATTTAAGACTGGAGAAAGTTAGGTACAAAAAAGGACAAGGTAGATTTAACTTAGTCTGAGCACCAGGGAAGGTAACTGAGGAGAAATGATGTTTACATGGAAACCAGAAGGAGCCGAGCTGTGTTTGAGATAGAGGAGATATCCTGTGCAAAGGCCTGGAAGCAAGAGAGCTCGCTTCAGCTGAAGAAAAGAAGGAAACTTTACATAAGGAAGGACAGAAAGGCATTGTGCACGGCTTTATGAGGCATGTTTAAAAAAAAATCTGGATCATATCCTGAAGAAAGCAACCACCAAGTCCACAGCATGAAAGTGAGATGATGAGTGTGAGCTTTTCAAAGTCTAGGATTGGAGGAAGCAAGTGTGAAGGCAGGAAATTCAGGTAGAAGAGTATGCCAGTGTCCAGGTGAGTTAACAGGACCTGGCTGCCATGAGTGGGATCCCAGGAAACATCAGGATGTGGCTGGAAGGTTGACTGGCCTTGAGAAAAGACTAAGATAGGGAAGAGTCGGTAATAGCTTTCCCATTCCTTCCACATGATCCAAAGGGATAACAACTGCATTATTTATTTATTGCTTAAGACTTCCAAAGAATTTCACAGAAAAGATGAAAGTTTCACCCTCACCTGATAAAAGACATAAAATTATTTTTAATGTGGTATATTAAACAATAGGAATGTACTATTAACCATTAGGCAGACTAATGTAAATATTAATTTTCTAATAATAAATTATTTTAAAGAACCACAAAAACTAGTAATCTCTTATGGCAAGACATCAAAGCCCCACATTAATCACCTATCCAGATCAGTGTACATACAAGTGTGATTGAAAAATATGATGAATATTTAAATATTTTTAAAAGTTATCATGATAGGGCTGGGGATTTAGCTCAGTACAAAAGTGCCTGCCTGGGGGCTGGAGGTTTAGCTCAGTGGCATAAGCGCCTGCCTTGTAAGCAGGCAGTCGTGAGTTCAATCCCCAGTACCGATAAAAAGGAAAAAGACAGGCAAAAAAAAAAAAAAAAAAAAGTGCCTGCCTGGCAAGTGCAAGGTCCTGAGTTTGGACTCCAGTATCAAAAAAAAAAAAAAAAAAAAAAAGTATTATGGTAAAATACACACTGCCATTAATTCCCTCTTAAAATTACCCCCCACCCCCCCGCACTGCCAAGGCTGCCTCGATGTCCTGAATTGATTTAGAATGTTTACTTCACCCGGATATCTTGGCTTTGAGGAACAGCCAGAAGTCAGAGTGCCAGATCCAGTAAATATGTAGATAAGGACACACTTACATTTTCACAAGCTGTCTTTCTGTTGTATGGCACTTGGGACTGTTTGAACATTGCACAGAGACAGGCATGAAAGAGGGCTTCCAGAGCTGCTTTAGAAATTGGCAAGAGCAACCTGATAAGTATGTTCAAAGGGAAGGAAAGTATTCTAAGGTGGATTAATGGCAATGTGCCTCTTCCTGTCATATTTAAGTTTAAACATTAATTATATATTTCCATAACCCTTTGTACACAAGGAGCAAGAAAACAAATGATGTCCAGTATTAATTGAAGTTGTTAAATGTTTGATGAAAAATAAAACACATAAAAATAAAAAAGAAAAGAAAATATTTTCTTGGGCTGGGCATGGTGGCACACACCAGTAATCCCAAGAAGGACCTTGGGAGGCAGAGGCAGGAAGATCACAGTAAGTTCAAGGCCAGCCTGGGCTATACACTGAATAGGGAGACCCTATCTCAAAAAACAAAAGAAAAGGAAAAAAAAATATTTTCTTTTTAATTTAAATTACAGAAAACTGCAATGGTGTTGAGTATTAATTATAAATAATGCTGAACAATCACAGGTAACTAAATGACATCAGAACAAGTACTCTGAATCATTTTTCTTACAGAGTAAATATATACTGTCACAGTAACTATTAGTAGTGAATCAAACCTAACCAATAAACCTGTCAAAAGGAGGGCAAGACTCTCATACTTAAAGATGTTTCTAGCAATGGATGTTCCCAGAAAATCCAACACAAAAGAGCTCACCTACCGTACTTGTTTGGCAGCTTCAAGTACACAGGGCACAATCTTAAACACTGGCTGCTCTTCGGAATCTTCCTGTGGTTGGTCCAGAGGTGCAGCAGCCCCACTTCTAATCCAATCCAGCATTAGTTTCTCGTCCAAATCAAAGAGCTTATCCACAACCTCTCCCACCTTCACCAGCAAATCAACTGCAGAGAACACAGAGGTACACAGATGAGAAACGAAATGCTTCAAGCAATAAGGCTAAGCAAAATTCCAAAAGCTACAGCAAGAAAGCCAGACCATGTCAAAGCAAAACGTATTCCAAAAGTGGTTTATTTATCCCCTGTGCTTAAATTTGCTTACCTTTCTTCATTTGCAAGTCAGGTATTTATCAGTATCTTGGGAATTTCAGAATAAATTTTATTGCTGAATCAAAACAACCTCTCTTGAATTAGCCTTTTTTTTTTTTTTTAAGTGACTTCCAGAAACAGTTACATGATTTGCTAACAAATATAATCTAAAACCTGATTTTGACTACATGGTGACTTACCATTTGTTGAACTTGACATGATGAAACAAATGCTATCATAAATAGCTGGATATTCCCGGATCCTTTCAACCCAGACACTGGCCACTTCTGTCTGGGAAAGGCAAGTAAGCAACAACCTACATGATAAATGTGAGCTTAATATCTAGCGTCTAAAAATAACAAAGGGAGCTTAATTGGGGGAATGGGAGAAAACTTATTAAGAGATCACGATGTTGATATGAATTTATTGATGGGTTAACTTACTCTCTGTAAGTGAAACAGCAAGTGACAAAGCACTGCCAACTTTTTCATTTTCAAAAATACATTAATGTGTAGAGATAATCTATCTCTGGGAGTATGCTCCTGAACACACTTTTCTTTTGGATTATGGGTATTTTTTTTTAATTTGTACTGTTATAAAATGTTTCTAAGTGGAAGAAATCAGGAAATGCTGCAAGCACATAAGGACATAGCTATATCAATTAGCTTACTTGCAGTAATCATGTCACATAGTATATAAATATCTCAAAACATTTCTCTATGTAGCCCATTTCTCTATGATTGTGTCGATCACATTTAACAAAAAAAAAAAAAAAAAAAAAAAAAAAAATTAAAAGGAATTTAGGAAATTCAACAATTTTTTTTGCCTAGGCTGGGGATATAGCTTAGCAGCTCGGTGCCTGCCTTGGCAAGTAAAGTATGAGGTAGTGAGTTCTATTTGCTGTACCAAAAAAAGAAAATAAAGGCAGAATTTATTTGCCTAGATTCTTTTTTGGGTGATGTTATGGGATCCATGGAAAAAGCACAGCATACCTGCTTGTCTCCAGGAGAGTAGGTGGATCTGAATCATATAAACAGTGCAGTAACACCTGCCTACGAAATAAAACACGTAACCCATATGCTTCACATCTCCTTTCAAATACCTGAGTTTTAACTCCTTTTTAAGACACTTTTATTATCAGATAAGGTGTACATGCAGAGAAGTTTATACTTCATGAATAACTACAAAGCAAATTCTTTTTTTTGGTCTTTTTTGAGACAAGGTCTCACTATGCAGTTCAGGCTGGCCTTGAGCTTACTTTGTAGCCCAGGCTGGTCTTGAACTCACAATGATCCTCTTGCATCAGTCTCTCTAGTGCTGGGATTACAGGCATGTACCACCACACCCAGCTCATGCTTCTAAGAAACAGAACAGAGCTGCTTATCCATATAGTCCCTGTGGGCCTCACTCTAAATCACAATTTTTCCCACCTAGAAAATATCATCCTGACTTTTCCAGCAACCATGTTCTAGCTTTGCTCTCTAGTTTTACTATTTACATATATTTCTGGTTTTGCTTTTAAACTTTATATGAAAGAAGTAGTACTCTGTTCTTTTCTTGAAACATTTTTTAGTTATCTATAAATCTTTTCTGTTTTTAAGTAACATGCGGTAATTATACATATTAATATAGTACAGTACAATGCTTCAATACATGTATATAGTCTTAGTTTTCTTGCTCAAAACCAAGTACCTAAGATCCACCATGCTGCTCGTTGATTCATTACTGCAGAACATCCCATTGCATGAAAACAATACAACTTCCCTTTCCACGCTACTGTTGACAATTAGCTTGATAATAATTTTGGGCTGTCTCAAGCAACACCCCTACAAAAATATTTGCATAAGGGATGAGGAGGGTGTAGTTCAGTGGTAGAGCACTTGCCTAGGATGTACAAAGACCCTAGATTCAACTGTCAGCACCACAAAAGGATGATGATGATGCAGAGGGAAAAGAAGAATAAGAAAAAGAAGGAAGAGGAGGAGGGGAAGATGATGATGATGATGATGTGTTGTATGTGTACCCTGCAGTACATACACAGAGCTTCTTTTACTATGTACCTATGAGCCACACTGCCGGGTCATAGCCTATGCATATATTCCTAGCTGACTAGATAACGCCCAAATGCCCAGGTGTTCTAAAGTAACTGAACAAACTCATATTCCATTAGGGCTGCTAAAAGATAAGCATTAATTGAATTCACAAAAATCTGTTAACATTATTTTCAGTAATGGATTTTTGATAAGGACACTAGAAACCAACAAATTCTATAAATGACTGCAAATTACTGAGGAATAAATACCTTGACCTAGGACCTTAGAATCTCTCCACACTTACAAGAGGGTAAGTACCTCTCTTTTAGAGGTGCAGGTACTTGAATTTTGTGATAAACTCTCATAAACCCAACTCTGATCACCACAGCCTAGAGCATTTTCTTAGCTTAATTTGGGCACAGATTTCTTCGAGCTCCTGATTAACAGCCATGAGTCCTCTGCCTAGAAAAATGAAGACATCCTTCAAATTTTGCATGTAATTTCAGGATGTTCTCAGACCTATGGTAACCACTAGTGTACCCACCGTTAAAAACTCTGCCTAAAACTTTCTGCATAAAGAAGAGAACCAGTTTCCAAGCAGAAGTATGAAAACTTTATAATCACAGAGGCAACCCTTCTATCTTACGGTTATGTTGGCAAGTTTTATTCTTTGATCTAAGCTCTCAGAGAGCTTTGGTCAAAGCTCTCAGAGGCACAGTTTATATATCTAACTTCCTGAACACTAGCTCTGTGAGCCCTTGGATTCCCTATGCCTAAGTTGTGTTGTACTCTGGATACCAGTTTCTATCTCCAAGTTTGGTCCTGCACACTCTTCCCCTGTCTTGGACCCTGCCCACCACCTATGACAATTCAGGTCCCTCTGCAACTCATGACAATGGGTGTAAATCCTGAACCATGGCCACATATGGTGTGGAAGCCCCACGCCACCATCAAAATAAAATGAAGCTCCGGGAGTGTGCTTATTGAGACAAAGGAAACACTGCATTTCATACTTTCCTATCTCTCCAATGACCAGGATTTTCTTACAGATATGAAATTTAAGCCTAATTTAAATATAATTATGAAGTAAGACTTACCCAAGATTTTTATCACTGCTGATGGACACACATATCTCCTGGAAACAGGCCATATTCCCTAAAATTCCCACACAGATTTCCTGCCAAATCAAATTTCACAGGTCACAATGGCTCTGAAGTGAAAGACACATATACAAAAATAATAACTTGAACAAAAACTTTCACTAAGCCAAGTTAAGGTGGTGGACAATAGGAGGCAGGTTAGACAAATCAGGGGGCCTGCACCCTAACTCTGACAAGTTCATGGTATTTAAGAAGAAATGAAAGACACATAAAAGAAAAAAAAGGAAGAAATTCCTGAGATGAAATGAGCCTTAAGGGAATAATGTATACGGCTAATAAAGAAAGCACCCTGGCTGTAGCACAAAGGGGAAACAGTGTAAGATAAATAGAGCAGACAAAAAGGGTCAGGAGTAAACGCTTTGAATGCCATGCTGAAGAGTTTACACTTAACCTAGGAGATTATCTAGAGCCATGAATGGTCTTGAAAAGGTGAAAACTAAATTGCATTACTGAATCAGTAATTTAGGAAGATTACTCTGGCAACGAAACACATATGCATTATAGTAAAATCTGAACGACACCATGGGTCTACTTTAATAATAATAGTTAACACTTACCAGCACTCATTATGACCAGGTACTAGTCTATCCTCCACGTATCATTCCTTACTGTTTACAGGGTAAGTATGTTATCTCCATTTTTCAGATGAGGACACTAAAGCACAGGTTAAACAGCCTAAGACCCCCATCTAGGAAACACAGATCCAGAGCCCAAACATTTAGCCAAGGCACCTTAGTGCACCTAAGATGAGGCTGTGATGGCTGAGGCAGTAGTGCTGGGCGCAGGAAAGGACAGAGCGGAGGAAGACTCTGCTACACGATCAAGGCAGAGAGCAGTTGAACCTGACACCTAGCTTTCAAAAGGCCTCATTTCCCTACTCAGAGATGCTGGTCCCATAAGAAACCTACAGAAAGAGCATGAAAGGACACAATCCCAACATAGCAGCATTTCCAACTCACTGGAACCTAAGAATCATCAGGGAATGACCTGTTTACCAAGCACATGGCTGATTTTTATGATCGGGTAAGGATGACAATCACTGAGTTAGGACATACAGAATCTGGGACTGGAAAACACAGCATGCAAGCAGAGAATGCCTGCAGAAAACTGGAGATGTGGCACCAGTAACCAGAGGAGAGGCTGGGGCTTTGATCCTACTGGACAGAGCCGCAACTCAAGAGTACAAGGAAGAGAGGGACTCAGTAAGGAAACAAAAAGAGAAAAAACAAGGAATCAAGAGTCTGCTTTTTGGTGATTTTGTTGTTGTTGTTTTTAGTTTTGGTTTTGTTGGATTTTTGTGTTTTGTTTTTGTTTTTCGTCTTTTTGAGACAATGTGTCGCTGTGCAGTCCAGGATGGCCTTGGGCTCACTTTGTAGCCTGGGTTGGTCTCAAACTTACAAAGATCCTCCTGTCTCAGGCTCCAGAGTGCTGGGATTACAGGCGTGTGCCACCACGCCTAGCTGTACCTTTTTTTGAAAGAATCCATAGTCAGGTACAGAAAGAAAGAAAACAGCTCATGAGCAAGACAGCAAAGGGACCCAAGAGTTCAGGTACTATAAAAGCTCCAGGGACAGTCCAATAAAATGTGGTGTCAAATGCTGGGCAAGGATTAAAAGAGAATAGCAGCAGAAAAGAAACACACACATTTCCCTTATGAACAAGAAGGAATAACTGCACTTCCAACCAAAGACCAAGGACCTCAGTCTTGGCTGCTCACTGGAAACACCCGGGGATCTTCAAAAGCTGCCCAGCCGCTCACATGTGGGAACATGTAGGGCTCCAATCAGGACTTTCAAAGTTCGCTAGGGTGAAGCTTCTAGGAGTACAGCCTCAACCAGCATTAGCAGATAATCCCTCTGGGGATCATAAATCCCGGGCCCTATTCCTAGCCTTCTGGGTCGGAAACTGCAATTGGTAATTGGGAACATGCTGAGGTGTGAGAGGCCGAGGTCCCAGGGGACTCTCCAGGGCGCCAAGGTCAGGATCACTGATGTAGGTGTGACTAGGAGACACACTGAACAACATGACTACTTCCGAAAAGGTGCCACTCCTGATGTGAGTTTACTTCTTAAGAGTAATCAAGCATTAATATATTCAAGAAAGAAACTACAACAACAAAAACAAAAAAACTAGGGAGGAAAATAAAAGTCACAATGCTGTATCTCAGTGTAAGAATCCAAGAAAAGGGGGCTGGGGATTTAGCTCAGCAGCATAAGCACCTGCTTTGGGAGCGCATTGGTTGTGAGTTCGATCCCTGGTACCGGTAAAACAAACAAACAAAAAAAGAATCCAAGAAAAACTGGTTCCTCCTTACCCAATTCAGGTGGTGGATTCTACTACACAACAATTTCAATTTGACATTCAATTTGACAGGATTCGACACTTTATAATCTCAGAGAAAGGAAAGCAATACAGTACATGCTATACAAGTCAGGCCTAGGCTGATATCCCAGCTGCACTTTTACTCAGTTCCTTTATCTATAAAGTACTTCTTACAAGAGTAGTAAAACCAAATACTTAGTGAATAGTGGTTATTCATAATTATAATTATTCAGCACACATTTACTAATTATCCATCATATGCACAGCACATAGCAACTTAAATGACAATAAAGCACAGGAAAACCCATAGTACATAAATAAAGACCTCATCTAGTCTTTATTGTTCTTGGAAGTTTCCTATTAGCAATAACCACTAAGATTTTACTTATCAGGGACAGGGATTTAGCTCAGCAGCACAAGAACCTGCCTGGCAAGCACAAGGCTCTGAGTTCAATTCCTAGTACTGGAAAGAAAAACAAAAGATCTCAGTTACCTGAGAAGGTGTGAGATAAAAAATACACCCTGAGTAAGAGATGAGAATACTGAGAGAGGCCTGGAGGCACACAAAGAAAAATAAAGAAACAAATGCCAAGGGACTATTCCCTGCTCTGTCACATATGAGCAACACAATATAGTTATGACTATCTAGTATCCACAGCTGTTAAATGGAAGTATGTATCTCTGATTGCGTTCTTATAACACAAGGAATGCCACTATAAACATCTGCTAACTTACTGGTTTATAGCTGGTAAGAAAATCACACTGAGAAAAATGAAATCTACATACTTACTCTTAATCGAGGACACTTGGATTTGGCCAGTATGCCCATAAATATGTCAGGGGCATTAAATTCTTGGAGAAATAAAGCCACATCCTGTAAACAAAAATGGTATTTACTTGATTTATTTTTCTACTCACCAGGAACTCTCCATAACTTATGCAAACACATTTGCTGACTGCTAGGTCTTATGCCAGAAGCTGGGGGTAAGGAAGAAGAGTGAAACTCATAATTCCTATCATCTAAGAACTTAAAACATGATAAAGGAAGCAGCTAAGAATTACTGCTGGCTCACGTCCAAAAGTCACAACTTGTGGTTTCAAAATCCTCAAGAGAAAAAATTTCACAGTGTAACTCCAACAGCCTCAAATCTTCCTAGAGTTTACTATCTATAGCACCAAGTAGGGGCACACCACAGAGGTAAGTGAACCTGGAGTAGATACAGAACCCAAATTGGGCCAAATCTGCCCCAGGAATGTGGGATATAGAGGTTAAGTCAGTTAGCCATGGGGAACGGTGCTGTGCATTATAAAACAGTCACAGGCCACATAATGAGGCTTTGAGCAATGACGGACTTCATATATGACCGTGGTCCCATAAAATTATATTGCTTAGTAATGTCATGCTGTCTCAGTGTATACAAGCATACACCATGGCAGTCATAGGGCAAAAATGCACATACCTTCAGAGACACAATTTTAGCATGCACTAAAATTGTAGCATGTTCTGGTACTTCACTCCTGTACCATATACTAGTTATAGATACTAATTAAAATCTCAGAGAGTGAAAGACCAAACCTTTAAAAAAAAAAACCCTACTCACCACTTTTGTACCCAAGAGTATTTTCAGAATTTCATTTCCAGCCTCATACCTCATCCATTGACATATCCCACACTTTGCAAATTTCATTCTCCATTTCTTCATCAAGCTCCATCTGCTGCTCCTCATCATCTGGGTTGGATTTGGTGTTTTCAGATGTAACGATCTTCAGAAACATGAATCGAAGAGATGAATAAAAATCACTCATAGTACTTTCCCAACTATTACCCCATAACCATTCAGAAGTCACAAAGAAACTATCTTCAAAGTATGTTTGCTTGCCAAAAAAAAAAAAAAAAATTATTTTAAAAAATCAGTGCCTTGGATAGATCTATAGCATCCAGCGTCCATGGAGTAAGGTACTGAAATAGAAATTCGAGGCTGAATAAACTATCATTCCTTCCTGTCAAGCCCATTGGAATGAATGTGGGAAAAATATGTAAACCAGTAGACACAAACAAAAAGACTAAGTGGCTCCACTGAATTGTGAAAAAAAGTTGTAGCAAAAATGGTTCCTGGAAGGAGTTGGGCTTGTCCCTTTTCTTAGAAGGTGGTTATTTTACAGATAAATCTTGGAAAATGAATAGAAGTTTGTCACGTGAAAAAGAGAACAGCATGTGTGACTTTGGTCACATAAGACATCAGAGGTAAGCATAAGACTTCAGAGTTAAACTGCCTAGCATGTCTGGGAATGAGGAACATTTTGTTGCCGGAATACACCATCATGGGCAGATGAGGTTGGAAAGACTGCTAAGAGTCCTGCATATCAAGCTCAGAAAAATACTTCTCCAGGTGAGAGTAAGGAAATGAAAGTATCAACAACTTTAAAAAAACAAAATACTAATCTGACAGCTATGTAGAAAATGGACAGGCCAGCGTGGTGGCACACACCTGTAAACCCAGCACTCAGAAGGCAGAGGCAGGAAGATCGCCATGAGTTCGAGGTCAGCATGGACCACATTGGATGTTCAAGCACTAGGAGCCCCTGTCTCAAATAAACAAAATGGAGGAGGAAGAGGAGGAGTTAAAAGTGGACAAGCCAGAAACTGGAAGCAGGGAAGCCAGTCAAGGCAGTGTGGAGAGAAAAAAACATTACTAAGCGCCTCCTCTTACAAATACCATGTTACACACGCTAAGATCATTATAATCTCATTTAACCTGCACAAAAACCATACATGCAATATTGCCGGTATTGTCATTTTATTCTACAGAAACTGCGAGAGAAACGAGGCCATGCGTGTTAGGCGCTGTGACCAAAGTCACACAGAAAGCAGGCGATAGGAGCCGGGCCTCCACCAGTCAAGCTGCATGATTCCAAACTCAGCATTTATTTTATTACAACAAAAGCCTGTGACACACATGACTTAGGCCTGGCACATATATTTCAGAAACAGCAGTGGGGGTTGAGGAGCAAAACTCAATGCATTTCCAGGGCAGCATTCTGGGGGAACAGCAAAAGTGAGATGCCAACGCCAAGCCTCCCGCATCCGTGCCATTCAACTTCGCTTTGTATGAGGCTCCCCGAGCGGGGCTAGTTTGCACACCTGGATGAGGCCCGAAAGGACTCCGAAGAGCCAGTGCTTGCTGTAGACCGTGCCCCCAATGCAGTCTCCCCCGGCCTCTTCAGCATTCTCATCTTCCCGACTAGTGGGCGGCGGCGACGGGTTACGGTCCATGATTGCGCGCGCTTCTACCTTTCCGGAGCCGCGCCGGAAGCCGCGGGGGAAGCGAGAGGCCTCCTGGCGCCAGAGAGCCCGGCAGCGCTTGCGGTGCTACTCCTGCCACAGCGCCCCCTGCTGCCCGGAGTTCGGACGACCTGAAGGTCCGCTCAAATGGGATTTCCTCCATCCCTGTCCTGCTCTGCTCTGCTCTGCTTTGCCCTGTCGTACCCTGCCTTTTATTGCCTACCCTACCCTACCTCCAGAGCTAGGCATGATTATATTCGTAATTGTCATTTGTCATCTTCCCTAGATCAGAAATTTGGTTTTTTTAGAAGTCTTTACCCTGATTTAGGAGGGCCCAGAATAAGCCAATGTTTCTGGTACAGATGTGAATCTTGAAATCATGATATCTTTGCTTTTGGAGCCCTAGAATATTGAAAATGTTCTATCTGTGCCCCTTGAGACAGGATCTCATTAAATTATTCAGGCTGGCCTTGAACTTGTGATCCTAATGCCTCAGTCTCCCAAGTAGCTGGAATTATAAATGTGTACTACCGCTAACAGCTTTTGCCATTCTTCCAGTGTCTAGTACTACTATTAGTTTATGAGGAAATAAATTGCCTTTAGTCATGAATGCTGAGCATTTTGTCTCTAATTTTATCCTCTCTCAAGTGACCACTTCACATGAAGCCTGAAGTGAATGGAACTGCTTGCTCCTCTGGTGGCTGCAGCCAATTTATCCATCTAAACTCTGCTCCTTTCAGGAACCAGCTGTGAGATGGCTGCAAACAGCAGCCTCCTGGGCAGTGCATTAGGCTGCCCTAAGAAGCCCTGGAGATAGCCATTTCCAGAGGGTGCTCATGTCTCTGACACTGCGCTGTTCCCAATCTAGGCCCCAGACAGGTATGCAGGGTACTTTTGGAAAGCTCCAAGGGATAGTGGCAGTGTTCACACTGACCAAGTCATGAGGGCCTTTAGCACTTGGCTACTAAACAAGAAGCTTGTAACTGAGGCGCTAAACAGAGCCAAGCTCAAGTTCTCTCACTACCAGAAGATCCATCGCATTGCAAAAAATGGAGGTTTTACCAAATGCAATGCAGAAGAACTTGAAGACAGTGACTAAAAAACAGGTCATCCAGGAAGGCTGTAGAGGCTAAATACATCCCCAGGACAAGTGGCTGGCCCTGCTCTCACAAGGGCTTCCTCCTTAAGTACACCCACCAATAAACCCTACTTCCTATCCAAAAAAACCCACAAATAAAAAGCTAACTCTGGTTGCAATAAAATCAAAGGCATTGAGGTGACAGCCTTGGAAGCAACAAACAAAAAAATTGTCACCAAGGTCTGTAAATAATCGTCACAGAGAGGGTTTCAGGAATTGATGACACAGGAGAGTCTGATGAATTAAGAACACTTTGAAGGAGACACAGAACTGATGCCCAGATAACTTCAAGGAAGGACTTGCTGCCCAGCTACAGGAAATGCATCAGCAGACTGCGCCCAGCTGTCAGCTCCTTTGGGGCCAACCTTAGCTGCAGAGAGGCTCTGTTGTTCCCAGGTTAGCCCTCACTTGGTGACTGAGCAATGGGTTACAGAGATGAGATGTGGTACAAAGGCCTAGTAGCTTTAGTCTAATTTGGGACACTCCCACCAAGGCTTCCTACCATGTGCTGTGGCCTTGTGAAGCCTTCTACTTCTACTTTTCTCTACAACTTTTTCTTTGCCTACCTATGTAGGTGGTCTATTGATCTTTAAATATCTTGAATCCCAAACCCTATGAAGCATCTATGTCCAGAGCACACAACTAGAACAGTTGGTACATCTCGTTTCCACTGCAAGGGTTACCAATGACATATTTGAATCATCCAGGTGATAATGGTTCACTTCTGAGAGAATGTAAATGAACTCGAAACTCTGATTAGGCTGCCCAGAAAACACTGAATCCATAGACATGGATTTATAGTCCAGAATTATCCTGAAAGTTTTAGCTGTGTAGTCGGTGGCTGAGCAATGTTTGTTTGCGTCCTCCTGGCTCTGTGAAATACAGCCATTCCTTTAAAACTTCAGAGATCAAAACTAAGCATGATCCTCACTTGTAAGCATGGGAGGAAGATTGAGATGTGCCCTGATTGAAATGACTCCTGTGTAGAAGATCGAAACACCAAGAAAAGACAGATAATTGAGAAAAGAATAAACATTGAGAATCTGCTATCTGCTGGGCACTATTCTAGGTACTAAGATTGTGGCAGTGAAGCAAAGAGAAAAATTCCAGCCTTTGATGTACTTGTATTCTTACAGGAGATAGCAACAAAGCAAATAATAAGCCATAGAATATGGATGATAAATTAGTAACTGGTAGCCACAGTGGATTTTGTCTCCTGATCCCCATACCCTTGAGTGGGTTGATTTCCTCTCCCTCACACTGGCTTGGCCACATGACCTCTTTTGACCAGTGGGACATTGGGAAATGTGATACAAGCAGATGCTTGGTAAGTACTTGTGTTTCCTGGGACCCATTCTCTGGAGACATCACCATGTGAGCACCCAGTCCAGTCTCCTTAATGATGAAAGACCACATGGAGATAGAGACCAGAAATCTCAGCTGTCCTCAGTGGGTACCTGCCAACCTTCCAGCAGAATATAGCTGCATAAATGAACTGGTAACATCAATAAAACAACCTCCCACCTGACCCATTTAATCATAAAAAGTAGCACATCTTTTGTTACGTACTGTTTTAAGATTTTTGGTTACTACAGGAATAGATAACTAACACAACATGTAAGGAAGTAATAAATGTCAAGGAGAAAAATAAAATAAGAAAAGAAGGAGCACTGTCATAATGCAGTGTGGTCTCCGTACAAGGATAGCCATGTGGATGAGTGAAATAGATCCCTACATCCATCCTCCCTTGCCTATAAGGAAACTTCATGTATGAAAGAAGTGGAATTGTGAAATAAGAAATATCCACAGGATGAATTATTTAATGATTACTACTTGTAAATAATATATGGAAAAAATTAAAATTAAGTCTTTAACAAAAGTTTGTTTTGCATGGATTGAAGAATTAAATGAAACTAAACTAAAATTAAAAACTGAAAATTAAGGCTTCTAAAAAAAACTACTGTACCGTGGACTCTTATGACCTCATAAATAGAAAGGATTTGCTTAAAACAGACAAAGCAAATCTTTGGTGCAATTGATTACTACATTTTGCATTCTAATTTAACATAAGTCAAGATAGATTTTTTTAAAGCTTCAGATTAGGAGATATTTGTAAGGCATAATTGACATGAGTTTAACATATAAGATAATTTTTTAAAAGTTCCATTAATTACTAAGAAAAATACAGTCCATTATAAAAAATGGGAAAAACATAGAAATAGTCACTTGACAAAGCATAAAATAAAACTGACAGGGGCTGGGGATTTAGCTCAGTGGCATAAGCACCTGCCTTGCAAGTAGGCGGTCAAGAGTTTGATCCCCGGTACCGGTAAAATAAATAATAATAAAATATAAAAAATAAAAAAAATAAAACTGACAGAAATATATGAAGAGATACTCAATTATAATTTATGAAAAACCACAGAAGTATACATTAAAGTTACTAAGAATTATTATTTTACAGCTACAAAGCTAGAAAAATCTTTTAAATCTGACAGTACCAAGTACAGATGGCATTGTAGAGAAAGGGGAACTGTCATACTGAAGGAACTTTATGTTTAATGCAATCACTTTGCAAAAAAATAGTTTTCAAAAGTGGTAACCCATTTTTGGAATTTTGAAGTCATTTTAATGGATCATTATTAGTATTTTTTAAAGACTCAAACTAGATGAGGCCAGAAGAAAAAATGTCAGAGGCCATCATATATACCAAATGTTAGCACTGTGTAACAAAACTTCTGTTTTAGTTGCACACAAGTACAAAGTGAACTGTCTCATAGAACTGTTGTTTGGTTATGTAGATTCACCAGGTTATATTTACCTGCAGTCATACTGATAAATATATAAGCAAGTCTGTTGTTGCTGATTTATGCTGTGAAGTTTATCTTAAATTTCAACATCTACTTGTAAATTTTTATTCTTATTGAAATAATTTTTTAAAAAGAGATTAGTCTAAAGTTCATTTGTAACTTATTGCCATTGCTATGAAGACTTCCCTATGTCTTCCCAACTTTTATTTAAGTCAGATACCACACATATGCTTTGATCTCATGTGCACAGGATAGGATTAATCACCTGCACAGGATAGGATAATCTTATTTTCATAAGATGGCTTCATGTTCTGTGAGCCTTGCAGCTATTTAAAACTGATCTGTGTGTGTGTTTTGGATGCTTCATATATACCCTGCTTCATGACTCGGGGCGTCTTTGCAATTCCTTTGACACAGCAATGTGATTCCCCTCGACTGCTTGCCTGCTTCTCCCTAAGCTCCTTATCGCTCTGCACCTCAGCTCAGCTCTAACTTCCACCCCAATATATAGATTTGGAATGGGATTCATGCCTTCATTGTGAGAAGCCATGGTGGGGGGGGGGTGCTGGAAATACATTCTGCGAAGGAATGATTACATGAACTCATATATTCAAATGTGGGTAGTTTGTTGTTGTTGTCATTGTTGTTGCATTTGCTTTTGTTTTGTTTTGTTTCACTGCACTAAAGATTGAACCTGGGCCCTTGAGAGTTCTGTACAAATGAGCTACACCTCCACCAGTGAGAGTGTTATGACTTGCCTAGATCTATAATGGCCGCCATAGCCTCACATGTGCACATAAGGTAATTGGATTACAGGAGTTTATAGCTGATTTGCTGCTGGGAGGCCATGGGGGCGTGGCCTGGGTATGTTTCCCTTCACTTTCTGCTTCCTGGCTGCCTTGAGGTGAGAAGCTTGCAACCAGCTGATTATAGACTGAAACCTCTAAAAACTATCAGCTAAAAGAAACCTCTCCTCCTTTAAGTTGCAGTGTTGGGTATTATGTCTCAGTTCTGAGAGAGCAGTTAACACAAAAAATGTTTCCTAAGCTGTAAATTTCAGTGCAATTACTATTTATAGAAAATGGTTAAG